CAATCTCAATCTCTTCGTCATCCATCCTGACGCTGCCAATTGGTCCAGTGGTGAGAATCTTTGTCTTCTTGACATTGAGCCTCAGTCCATACTGCTTCGCTGCAGTCCATGGTACATTCAATAATCTTCTCCAGCACCACAGCTCAAAGGCATCAATTCTCCTTCTATCCTCCCTAGTCATTGCAGATAGGCTTCTTTAATAAAACTCCACATCAGGAGTACTGCCTGTGACCTCTCTAGGGCACTGGCAAGAGCTTAGTAATGGAGCAGTGGGGTCGTGGAAGGGACAGTCGGTTTCAGAATCGATAGAAGTGGGTGCAGGGGCGTGGGGCATGTCTGGTGTCTCAGGTTTCCACTGGTGCTGCTCACGTTGTTCATGAGATTCTTCCCCCTTAGGGAGATGGTGGAAGTGAGATGTTCCCTCCACACCAGCTGCTCCTCTAGACACTAGCCAGCCTGCAAAGCCAAGAGCTCCAAGGATGGTCAAGGCCGAGGAGACAGGATTCATCCCCCGAACAACAGAGAGCGAGCCTGCTCCTAGACTTGCTTCCTTGTATTTGGGATTCTAGTCTCTTAAATGTTGAGAAAATAAATTTGTTCCTTAAAGCTGTTACAGCAGCACCAAGAAAGTAAGATAATCACTGACCCTCAACTTTACTTGAGCCCAGTATGTTTTAGCTGGTGGCGCGGAGTACATCCCCACTTACGCAAATAAGTATAAAAGAGAACATTGTTTAGAGTTCTTATGCAAAGAACGGGCCATATACCTTGTTTCTCTCATTTTCATTTTTAAAAACTGCCAATGCAAGCCATTCAGTTGTTTCCCGTAGGGCGTGAAGCACAGTTTGAAAAGCAGAACAGCCAGCAAACCCAACCCAGTGCTGTTGATCCTGACTCCAAGCAGCTCTAGGGCAGAGTCAAACAGCCCAGAAGGTTCCCAAGGCTGTAAATCTTTACAGAAGCCAACTGTGAGGACACCAGGGTTCCTGCAACACTCGTCATTGCCATCAGTTTGGAACCAACTCGGAGCTGACCCTCCAGCATGGTTTTGGAGGCTAGAAATCTCACGGGAGGAGACGACCCTTCTTCAGCAGAGCAGCCAGTAGGTTTGAACAATTGCTTTTGAGTTGGCAGCAGAGGGAGATAATGCTATCCGGGATCCAGCCCCGATACGTCGGGAGAATTTCGCCAAAAGGAGGCACCAGGTTGAAATGAAGACACGGAGAGGCTAATTGCTGATGACAAATAGCAAGTTTAATATTCTGGCAAGGGTACACACACACACATACACACACACACACACACCTTAGGAACATGCCTGCAGGGGTAATTGCATTATCTGGTAGATCAAACATTCCCAGACCTCAACACAAAACAAAGACATCTTGGGATATCCCATGATATCTATTGGAAAACAAGAAGGCATCACATTCCTAGAATTGAGGCCTTTGGTCCCTCCTTATTCATTAGCATACTGCCTCCTGGAGTTGTTTACTGTAGAAAGGATGGTCAAGCCAAGAGGAGTGGTCCTGCTGTTTTTACTATGCATCGCTGGTCCTGCTTTGCAGGTGAGCCAGGCCCTGACAGAATGCCACCCCGAGGGGAGAGAGTTTTGAAATCAGATCATTAACACGCATGTCCAAGCTTGACATTCAAATGGTTAACAACAAACAAGCATTCTTGTACGGGGTCATTCCGTACCAAAAGTTTGGAAATAGGAACAATTTTAAGGGTCGGATGCAAACCTGGACATACCAATGTCTGCCATTAAATAGGAAAGACAGTTGCCTGCCTGGCTAGAGAGCCGTATTTGTTCCCATTCCCAAAAAAGATGATCCAACCGAATGTGGAAGTTATCCAATAATATAAATTGTGAAATTATTAAAAATGGCTGAGACAGAATATTAAGAGAGAATTGACAGAAATGCAAGCTGGATTTAGAAGAGGCTGTGACACAGGGATCATTGCTACTATCAGATGGATCTTTGCTGAAAGCAGAGACTACCTGAAAGGTGTTCTCTTGATTATGTAAAGGCATTTGACTGTGAGAATCATAACAAATGATGGCTAACATTGGGAAGAATGAGAATCCCAGTGCACCTAATTGTGCTCATGCAAAACCCATGACCAGTTTGTGTGAAAAAACAAAGGATCACAACATGGTTTAGAATCAGGAAAGGTGTGTCAGGGCTGTATCCTTCCATGCCTTTTCAATTTGTATGCTAAGCAAATCATTCCAGGCTGTATGAAGAATGCAGCATTGAGCTTGGAGGAGGACTCAGCAACCTGACTGTTGTTGACAGAAGACTTGAAGCACTTACTGCACAAGATTTCAGACTACAGCCGTCAATATGGATCACACCTCAACACCAACAAAACACAAATCCTTACCATCGGACTAACAGGCAGCGTCATGATAAATGGAGAAAAGACTGACGTTGTCAACAATCTCATTTTCTTTGGATCCACAATCAGTGCTCATGGTGGTTGGCAGCAGTAATGAAATCAAGTCGTGTGGCATCAGGAAAACCTGCTGCTGAACAGGACCTGAAGGGCTCCGAGGTGGCCTGAGCCGAGTCAGGGTGCTTTCAGTTGCCTCCTATGCATATGAAAGCTGGACAATGAACAACAGCAGATTCAAGGCATTGACTGGTGGTGCTGGAGAAGAGTGCCGAATACCACAGACTGACGAAAGGACAAACAAGTAACAAAGTACAAGCAGGGTGCTCCTTTGGGGCAAGGGGCATGATGCTAGGAGGGGCTGGTTTCTTGGAAAAAGGCATCTCTCTGGGGAGGGCGGGGAGTCAGTGAGAGAAGGGGATTTGGAACAGTCACACGGTCTTCACCGGAGCTGGTGAGGAGGGCACAAGGTAGGGCTGGGGTGAGACCCGTTGTTCATAGAACTACTGTGTGCTCTGGTCAACTTGACGGCCCCTAATAACAACAGACTTGAAGAACTTTTTTATTAAATTTAATCACTTGAGATCTCTGTTTATAGCATCAACAAAAAATGAAGACATTCGATTAGACTGGCTCTAGGTAAGGAATACTTTTTTGAATTAATTTTTTTTAAGGTAAGGAACACTTTTTCCAATAGGCCATTGCTGTAGATTTTGACCCATCCCAACCCAAGTGTGTGCAGGGCTGTGCGGTGGCATTTCCAGGGCTGCCATCGTGTGAGAGACGGGCAGTCCTTTCTCATAGCCAGGCGGATCCAAACCCCGAGTTACACCCGTCTTCACTGCCTGGCAGGCACCCTCACCCAGCTGTGGGTCTGCTTAGCCCCCGAAGCGGCTGAGGGCTGAGAGCTGCCCTGAGGTAGGACGCAGGACACAGGACACGGCCCGTGGCATCCAGAGCCACTCCACCTGGACCTCCGCTCGCTCGCTCGCTCGGGCAGCAGCTTCTCAAGGTGAGGGCGCATGCTGGGGGACCCGCATCTGAACCAGGCTCCTTATTTAAATTTAACTCCAAAAATCACTACAGGATTAAAGCCTTCCTGGGCTAAGCTCCTACGTGACAGGCATGATAAAAGTTGTTAAGAGTGTAGGAACATCGAGTGAAGCCTTATGTGCTGAAGTGAATTTCAAAGTTTATTTTAAACCTGGAGTATTTAACTCTTCACACAAACTTAATTAAAAAAATATACATATATAGGCACTTGTCATTCCACATACAAAAACCAAAGACAAAATTCTCAAATGTTGGCGACTTAGTACCTGTAAACACGGCCTCCAAGCACAGCGAGTTCATCTTTTAAAAAAA